TATAGAAACTTCGTAAAGAACTATTCCACAGTCGCCTCTCCTTTGACTGATCTAACTCGACTTGACACGCCGTGGGACTAGAGTGATGAGTGCGAGGCTGCTTTCAAACGATTGAAGCATGCACTCATGAATCATGAGGTTCTCATGGTGCCCGATCCTCAGAAGCCTTTCATTGTAACCACTGACGCAAGCCAATACGGCATTGGCGCAGTGCTGGCTCAGCAGGATGGGAAAAAGTTGAGACCGATTGTATATATATGAGCAAAACGATGCCATCAAAGAAACTGGCAAAGTCCACCTATGAAAGGGAACTCTATGCTCTCTACAAAGCACTTGTCCATTGGAGGCACTTTCTGTTGGGACGGTTTTTCTATTTAAAAACTGACCATCAGACCCTTAAATGGATCAAGACTCAACCGGCTCTTTCTGATGCACTCAAGCGCTGGATTGAGGTCATAGATCAGTATGACTTCAAGCTAGAGTATCTGAAGGACGAGTACAACAAGGTTGCAGATGCGCTATCACGTAGGGCAGACTACCTAGGGGCGCTAGTTTATGAGTTTGGTGTATCTAAGGAACTAACTCAATCGCTGGTGGGAGCCTATCAGGAAGACCCTGTCACGATGGACATCATACGCAAACTTCAGGCAAAAGACAAGACCACAGAAGATGAGTTTGTGATGGTGGACGGGCTTCTCTTTCTTGATAAGGCCAGATTTAAAAGGTTAGTTGTCCCATCTAGTGAACGTTTGCGTAGTTTATTCTTAGGAGATCATGACCCAAGGCAACACATCGACACGCGACTGGCTCACGAAATGGCAAAAGATCGCTCGAGTTGCCATTTTCGCATCTGCGCCGGAAGTTCTACAACCGGTCATGTGCCGCCTTGAGCCTCGCACTTGGTGATCGCGAGCAATACACGACCTTCGCCGAAATCATCGATAAGGCAAGGGAGATCATCAAGACCAATAGGGCGGCTGCACACGAGAAGTCAGCGTGGCAGCCAACCTATGTGGAGAAAGGAAAATTTGGTCCGCGTCAGCAGCATGTCACTGCAGTCCAACCGGACAACATTGTGGAAGACCCGGCAGCCACCCAAGCATCACGTGAGGTTGATCAGGTGGCCGTTGTCCATCCGCGAAGCAACAACAACTCCCGAGGAAAAGGGAAGGCGAAAACCGCATCGCCGGCTGGAAACGGATAGCCGAGGCCGAATACAAGTGGCACGGCCGGTATGGCTGCTGCTATTGGTGCAACAACACCAAGCACAAGACCTCCCAATGCCCGGATCAAGGCAAGGAGAATGTTCGGCCTCGCATCAACTCGGGAAACTGAGTTGCGCGGGAGGTGAGGCGACTCCACCGCTCACTCTGCCAGATTTGGCCGCCTTGCTAACGGCCTCCTACACATCTGGGGAGGATGCGAATGTCGCAAGTCCTCGGTTCACTTACGAGGATTATGTTGTCCACTTGGTCCCACCGTTGGACCAACCACTCCACTTGCAACAATCCACCGCATGCACGGTTTCACCACCATCGGCAACCGATTCGGCAGCTTCGCCGCCATCTATCGTCGGGGATTCGACATCATGGTCAAGACTTGAAGAGCTCGACCCGTTGACGTTTGCGGACTTCCAATGGATGCCCCTTCCCCCGTCTGGTCGATTGTCGAAACCGCATTGCAACGTGCTCATGGCACAATTGCGGGATTACTTGCACACTGCAGTACCAACTCCGTCGATGGACGCCGAAGTAGAGGTTGTTGACCTTCACGACTACGTTGCGAAGATCGACCGCGAGTTCAAGACACAACGGTACGACGACATCGACGCGTCATTGTTGTACATACGCATTCAGATCGGAGAGGCGACCTGCAGCGCTTTGATCGATTGCGGAGCTACTCGCAACTACATGAGCCAAGACTTTATGGTGCGCGCTGGCCTTGGGCCATGTGTTCGGAGGAAGTCGCAGCCCACGCAAGTCACGTTGGCCGACTGTCACACGCACAAGTCAATCGATCGGTGCATTGATGTCGTCCCCGTGTACTTTGCCCCGCATGCAAGCGAGGCCGTGTCCTTCGACATTTTGGACACCAAGTTCAACATGATCTTGGGCATGTCATGGCTGCGAAGCGAGGATCACCCGGTGAACTTCTACCGTCGTACCATTCACATTCGTGACCGGAACGGAGTACTAGTCCCATGCACGGTGCCTCCTCCTCACCCTTCGATCAGCTGCCATGTGGTGTCCGCCGCAAGCATTCGAGCTTCCATCATCAGGATGACATCGAGGAGATGGGGGTGTGTTTTCTCCACGCCCTCCCGCCCCATGACATTCCATCGACGGGCTCATCACCGGACCCACGCATCACTGAGCTTCTCGATGCCTACGGCGACGTGTTCGAAGCCCCGCACGGAGTAGTACCGGATCGGCCTATCTGCCATGAGATCATCCTCGAGGCCGGGCCGTACCTCCGCGTGATTGCATCTACCGCATGAGTGAGGAAGAGTTAAGTGTGCTACGGGCACAACTCGACGACCTTCTCGAGAAAGGATGGATTCGACCTAGCTCTTCGCCATACAGTGCTCTAGTTCTCTTCGTCCGGAAGAAGAACAAGGATTTGCGGTTGTGCATCGATTATCGCAAGCTCAACACGCAAACCGTCAAGAACGCCGACCCTCTTCCACGCATTGACGACCTCCTCGAACGGCTGGGCGGCGCCAAGTTCTTCTCCAAGCTGGACCTCAAATCGGGATATCACCAACTCGAGATCCAGCAGGAGGACCGCTACAAGACCGCGTTTAAGACACGATATGGGCATTTCGAATGGTTGGTTATGCCTTTTCGCCTTACAAATGGCCCGGCCACATTCCAAGCGGCTATGACAATGGAGTTCCGACACATGCTGGATAGATTCGTACTCATCTACCTCGACGACATCTTGGTGTACAGCCGGAGTTTGGACGAGCATGTGGAGCACCTGCGCACCGTTTTGGAGCGGCTACGACAAGCCAAGTACAAAGCCAACCGCGACAAATGTGAATTCACGCGGCAAGAGCTGGAGTACTTGGGACATTATGTGATGCCCCATGGCATCCGTCCGCTTGTGGACAAGATCGAGGCCATCCGCGTATGGCCTGAGCCCACCAACACCACGGACGTTCGCTCATTCATGGGGTCGGCGGGCTACTATCAACGCTTCATCACCGGGTACTCAAGGATTGTCGCACCTATAACGAGATTACAATCGCCAAAGGTGCCATTCGTATTCGATGATGACGCACGCCGGTCATTCCAAGCACTCAAGACGACCATGCTCATGGCATCCGTCCTTAGCATCTACGACCCCTCCCTGCCAACGAGAGTGACAACTGACGCTTCCGGCTATGGCATTGGGGCAGTCTTGGAACCACACAGCGGCGACGACTGGCACCCCATGGAGTATTTCAGCCACAAAGTGCCTCTCATCAATTCACTTGATGATGCAAGGAAGAAGGAGCTGCTCGCGTTCATGATGGTCTCAAGCGATGGCGACACTTCCTCCTTGGGCGTCGTAGGTTCACATGGGTCACAGACAACAACCCATTGACCTCCTACAAGACGCAGGATACGGTGAGCAGCACAATCGGACGATGGATGTACTTCATCGATCAATTTGACTTCATACTGAAACATCTCGCCGGCCTCTCCAATCGCGCAGTAGATGCACTCTCACGAAGACCCGATCTTTGCGCTATGACACATCATGCCTTCCCGTTTGATGAGGAACTCCAGCGACACTTCATCCGGGGCTATGATTCCGATCCGGATTTTGCCACATTATGTGCACAGCTATCTTCGGATCACCCGCCGGCCAGCCACTATCGCATCGTCGACGGGTACTTGCTCCTCCACTCACGAGGCAAGGACTTATTATGTGTCCCACGAGACCATCGTCTTCGGACTCGCTTTCTCGGCGAGTACCATGACTCGCAACTCGCCGGCCATTTCGGAGTCAATCACACTATTTCACGACTTCGGCAATGATTCCGATGGTCCGACCTCATTACGGATGTCACTCGGTATTGTGACTCTTGCGAAGTTTGCCGACGAAGCAAGCCCCACAACCGCAATCCCTACGACGAGTTGCGGCCGATGCCTATCCCATGGGAACCCGACCTCTCCATTGCCATGGACGTCACCGGACCGTTTCCGCGTGACCTCCTCGGGCACGACGGCATCCTCACGGTCGTTGACCGTTTGAGTAAGTACGCGTGGTTTCTCCCTTGCAAGTACTACTCCACGACTCCCGAACTTGCGCGCCTCTTGCACACCGGCTGGATTTGCAACCACGGCGTACCGGAAGACATCGTCAGCGACCGCGACACTCGCTTCATGTCGGCATTTTGGACTTCTCTCATGCAGGAATCCGACACGAAGATGAAACCAAGTTCGGCTCGGCATCCACAAACGGACGGGCAAACGGAGCGGGCACATCAAACCGCTCAAATGATGCTTCGTACGCTCATCCGTCCGGATCAGAAAGATTGGGTTGACCGCCTCCCCCACATTGAGTTCGCCTACAACACTTCGTTGCACCCGGCGATCGGTGTGACTCCATTCGAGTTGCACCACGGTGGCCGGAAAGGCCGTATCTTCGCTGATATTCTCCTCCCACGACCAGCCGACATAGACGCTGCTTGCTCCCCCGCTTCCGTTCGGAAGTATAGGGAATTGTTGGCTCAAGCCCGAGTGAACATGCAAAAGGCTCAAGTTCGCATGCAGTAGCAAGCCAACAGGCGTCACGTGTCATCCGCCGGTGATCTGGTTTGGGTCTCCGCAGAAGAGTTTGCACTCGAGCAGGATTTTTCGCGCAAACTACTCCCCAAGTGGTTTGGACCATGGCCCGTAACATCAGCCGCGGGCGATTAGCCCGATGGCCCCTCATTTGTGATCAACATTCCCCCGCATCTGACGGTCCATCGAGTCTTTCACGCCTCGAAGCTAGCGACATATATACCAGCTAAGAGCGACGACTTCCCGGGCCGATGATCGCAAGATCCTCCATCTATGGATGGTCATCAGGAAGTTGACCGCGTCATCACGGATCGCAAGTACGGCAGCAAGCCTCGACAGTACGAAGTTACATTCAAAGCATGCGATCCCGACGACACTCGATGGATTTCAGGAGCAGATTTGAAAGCATCCGCACCGCTGATCTACGCTCACTACGAGCGACAAAGGTTAGCTCAGGGAACTTCACGACCTGCACCTCCCAACCGGACAGTGGTCCCTCCCTCAGACAGACAGCTTCGCCCTCGCAGGTAAGCTCGGTCTTTCAAGGAGGGGGGGGTGTGGCATATTGCGCAGCCATACGGGCCTGCAGGGCCCGACCAGCGTTCTCAGCCTAAAAGCCTGAAAACAAGGGCTTACAGGCCCTGTGTCGTTTCAGCCTGAAAGCCTGAAAACGAGGGCCTTCAGGCCCTATGTCGTTTCAGCCTAAAACAGGGCCTTCCAGGCCGTGAGTCTTTTCAGCCTGAAACGGAGGGCCATTTTCGGGCCCTCATAAGATCGACCTGCCCTAACACTCAGGCACCAAACCAGGGTTTTAGGAACAGGCTATTTTTGGCATGTTCCCACGACAACCTCAGCAGGAGCTGCAGCGCCAGACCCTGGCTCACTTTGGCATTGGCAAGAGCAGCCTCCTGGACTGCCCTGCCCTGCAACTGCAGGCAGTCGGAGGCAGTCAGGAGGCAGGCCGAGGTAGTACATAGGGAGTTTCCATGCACTTCATGGGTAGGCAGAAGGCAGGAGTAGTCTTCATGATTCGGAGCAACACTCTGAAGGAGCGCTGCAGCAGTAGCTTTAGCGCTAGCAGTAGTTTTCAGCGCTGGGCGCTAGTAGCTGTAGTGGTAGTCTTCAGCACGGGGCGCTGGTAGGAGTAGAGTAGTGTTGGAGAGAGAGATGGCTGGCGGAGGCCAGGGAGACTTACCTGTGGCGCCATAGATCCAGCTTCATCTTCGAGGTACCTGCATCAAGGCGCCAACTTCACAGGTTGGTACCGGACTGAGAGAGAGAGAGAGAGAGAGAGAGAGAGAGAGAGAGAGAGAGAGAGAGAGAGAGAGAGAGAGAGAG